AAGAGTCATGACACAACTCGAACACGAAGCAGATCAAGGCCTTTTCCACATGGAACTGAAGACAAGATGTATCTTCAATTACCACTCATATCAGATCGGTTCAGCGCAGTTATTCAGCAATGCCTAAAAAGAGCGGATCTAACCAATGACGTTTTCTTGGTTAACACAGCAAGAGAAAATATCAAACACCAGCTGGTTAGAAATCGTCTCTATGACCGGATTTGCATCATGGATAATTGCGTGATCTGCCCGTATGGAAAACTAGGAGACTGTGCACAACGAGCTGTGGTTTACCAGCTTCAGTGTTTAACATGTGATGCTTGCTATATTGGAGAAACTGGGAGAAAATTATGCGTTCGTGTGAAAGAACATTCAGCAAGCAAACGAAGGTCTTGCTCGATTGCACCGCTCGGGAAGCACAGAAGAGAAGGTCATGCTGGTTGTGACTTTGACGTTAAATGCACGATTTTGGCCTAAGAGGACAGTATTGGTGCCAGAAAAACTCTCGAGGCTTTCTGGATAAGACACCGTAATCCGAGCTTGAATAACAAGAATGAGTGCATCAACATAACTGGTGACCCTTGCCTTACATCCCTCTGTGTGAGCTCTGATAGAGACTGATACGTGTCACGTCACGATCTATTAAAGGGTCGTGGTTGACCGGGCTGTCTCAATTGCTCTACTGTTTCTAAACTTGAGCAACTGTTCGGTGTTGGTGGAGTTGACGTAAGTGGCTTGTTGGAGTTTCTCCTTAGTTGCTAATTCATCGGTCTGAGTTGCAACTAGTTAAGAGCTGATCTACGTCAAGCGTGATAGGTAACACTGTAAAGTTACGATACGCTTTCAGGCCTTTGATAAAGACGAGAGTGTCGAAACGTCAGGCGAATAAAAGTATTCCACCATCAAAAAACCTGTATGGCACAGAAGCATTGACGAATAACGGAAGAATCGACCACTCCACACTACCACCCGACGCAATTACACCAATCTTTCTGTCTCGTTGATGCTACATCAAAGAATCTTTGTACTCCACGTTCACCAAGGAAACAACCACTGTGGCGTTCATCACACTCTTACTATCCTACGACAAAACGTATGGATACCAGAGGGGAGAGCCGCAGTAAAGTGGATACTCTACAATAACTGCTTCGGCGCAAAGGAACCTCGCGAAACCTTACTCCTACCGCCATTTCCCTGCCACCCTCAACGACGAGTGAATCCCCCTCATATCTGTTTGAAAACTACGGTAGGACTTTTTCGGTTCTCTGCCATATCGCACAAAAGACAATTCTACCGATAACTATTGGATGTTACTGCTCGCCTGCCTGAACAGTCGAGCTATTTATGTTGAGGTCGTCTTGGACATGACCGCGTCTACTGCCCTATATAGTCTTCGCCGGTTCATAGCGACTTTTGGATGTCCCACATGGATCATCTGTGACAACGCTAAGTCATTCAAAACCATCGAACAACCATATGCTTCACTTCCAGATCCGGCCACCGATGAGGACATAATCATCTGTGTAGTCAAACGGATTGAAATGAAATTCATCCCAAGGCTTAGTCCGTTGCAAGGCAGATTCCATGAGAAAATGGTCACATTTCCAAAAGGAAGTTTAAAAAGCGATTTCAAACCGTCTTCCCGATATCGAAGATATTCGGACGATAGCAAAAGAAGCAGAGGCAGTTGTCAATACGCGACCTCTAACATACTACACTGATGACAATCGATGCTTCTTCCCCCTACGGCCAATCGATTTTCAACCACTTCAAACAACCCTCCATAAATTGTGACAGGCTTTTTGAAGTGGAAAATGCGAACATCTGGCACTCATCCAACTTGTTATTATAGCAAAACAAAAAGAACACGAGAAATAGACACGAGGAATTTTTAAAATTAAAAGACAATGAATGTCAGAGAAGATTCGAATAAATATAGTTTCCACTAGAAATAAGATTAAGACTAGACAGCAGAATAGTGTTGCAATCGTAGGGAATCGATCGAACTAGACTGAGTCACGGACCAGCAAAGTGCAGGCGAGCGAAGCTTACAAAAACTAGCACGCCCACTGTAGCACTGGGTGCGATTTTCACACTTTTTTGAATTGTTGGCTTGTAAGATAGGTTTGGATTGAAATAGAATTTTGAGGTTAATAAGCATAGCATCTGGTCTCTACCATGCTCAGAATCCTAAATTATTGTGGCACTCAGAATCACTTTACTTTTTGCCTTCCCGGCCTGCTTTAGTCATATAAAAGTACGTATTAAAGGATATCTGACAGTGTTAAACGTTCGGTAATGTGTACCTACGTAGGATTGGAAATGTGACTGCACGGAGGAAAGGTTTGATTCTTGTCATTTTAGAACGTAAGTTCTCGTGAAATAATCCCTGCATGAGGACCCCAACTCATTGACGCTTCTGTGCCTTCATTCAAAATTGCAGCCGTGTTCATTGTCTTTGGATGAATACGCTACCAATGATTACAATGATAGCTTTTGCTTTCAGCTTGCTTACGGCTCGCTTATCACTTGCATAAAAAGCTTGAGTCTGGTGGTTCTAGTCATTTGTCAGTTTATTCTACCGGACCGTTATGGATGATGAGGAAGATGAGGATCTCAATCTGAAGCCGGTCAGCCGTACACTGTGGACTACTTCGTGCAGTCACACTTCCAATACTCCGTAGGTACATTACCAAATGACATATCATTTCAGGGTACTGTTGTTGATTCTTCAAAAGGTGCCTATGTCGTTGTTCAACTACTTGGTGAAGGTGGATTCGGAGCTGTCTACAAGTGAGTGAATTCTGGAGATGCGATCCTTTTCATATAAAAGTTATCCTGATGTTAAGGGTGTACGATCAGAAAGATCAACGTAAGGAGTACGCTATGAAGGTCGAAAAAAAGTTGGAGTCTCGTCGTCATTCCAAGCTGAAAATGGAGGTGAGGGGCCGTGCAGAGAGTTGGATACCGGAAAGAAGCGAGAGTGGTGGAGGATTGGCGTGAACTCGTGGGAAAGAGTAAATGTTGAGTATAAGCCCGATGTGGGAGCTAACTACTCCATGCTCAGCGTTTTCCAGCTGTTGAGGGTTTGGAAGACAGAAGTGATAGAGAAACTGTAATATGCGGAACAGAGAGCACTCCAGTTTAGCTAAGGGCGGTGTGCTTGAAGTACAAAACTTACTCTTTCTGCAGGTACCACGGATTTTGTTGCATAATACTCAGGGAAAACAACAGTTTTTCGGCTGGGTGATCGTTCCGAACGGAGTTGCCATCAAATACCTAGATAATGGTCTTCTTCAGTGCCAATCTGAAGATTCAGAAACTGCCAAGGCTTGAAAGTGATTTAGAGGTCTTTGGACCGCTCCTTTCCCCAGAATCGGCAGTAATGATTTTTCATCCCATGATCGCGCGCGCGGCGATCTCAGACCGTGGCGATTTCAAGAGTGGTGATGGTGCCCTGAGTAGCACTGATAACGGTATCAGAGACGCCCTATATTACGTCATAGAAAGTGTTCTGCATTCACGGAACTTTCTTACTTGTACAATGCATAGTGTCTGAGTGAAAATGGGTAGAACGACCGAACATCGATGAGTGCTTGTGTTCACAAGCAATTTTTGATAAACATTTATGAAGAAGAGATTGATAATAGCTCATGATACGGGATGATAGTCAGCAATCGATACCGGTTCTATCAATACTTTTGTTCAAGATAGCGATATTGAAACTTGTGGCTGCGGAACGACGTAATTCCCACTTCACTTCAATTATTGACCGTGGGAAAAAGGAGAAGTACTTTTTTCTTGTTATGGAGCTCGTTGGACAAAGCCTTGCTGCGCTGAAAATGGCAAGACCAGGAAAGGTTTGTACAAAAGAATGAACAAGGCGTTATAGAAAGGGTTAGGTGTTTATAGGTTTTCTCAATATCTACTGGGCTGGGAGCTGGTATTCAATGCTTGGAAGCATGTGAAGATCTGCATAAGTACGGATTCATACATCGTGACTTGAAACCGGCTAACTATGCTATTGGCTTGGCAGATAAACGGAGAACGGTAAGGAGCAAAAACAATCTTCATTTCCAGACCTTGATGATCATGATACACTGGACCTCAAATCGAAGCTTAGCCCATAAGCTGGTCCTGCGTGTACCTTCCTTATAGCAAACTTGGAATGGGATAAGGCTGTGATAGAGAACAACTATAACTGATGGACTAGGAAGCAATTATCAGAATGCTATCAGTCCAAGGGGGTCTTACAATGGTAACGAAAACTATTCAAGGCATTGTCAATTGGAATGTGTGTTAGAGTAGTGGAAGAAGCGATAAAGGTGTAAGGAGTAGCAATGGGAATCGAGGGTAGCCGACGGGACAAGAACGTTGGATCACGTTTGCAACCACCATCAGGAACCGGCATGTGTTTTGTGTCGTGGGATCCTTACCAGAGTGAAATTCCCGCTCAACGGCTTATTCCGAGAGGTTATGATCTGATGAAGATCAGGAAGACCCAAGTTTACGGCCTTGAGGGAACGCGTTGGAAAGGAGGAGGTACCGGTTAAATTGGGGAAAATGCCTTGCTTTTACTTTTACGGAGAGGATAATAAAATGGCATGACCACAGCAGTTGCAGAGCCTTTCAGGGACCCTGTGATAGACACGAAAGAATGGTACTGGGCATTATATCTGTGCACGCACCTCAAGGCGGCTGCTTTGAGTATGAAGAGAATCAGCTCCCTCTGTTTGCACGATAACTATCAGATCAGTTCTGGAAGGGGTTAACCTCATCAAATAGCGAGATTTGAATGGGCACTTCTGCAGTTAACGAAAGGGCCTGGAGGGGCATTACGAAGATAGGGAAAGGCACTCTGGGTCTATAAGGTAGAGACGTTCCCTGACTTGTCACAGCATTCCTCCTAGCAGTATGTAGTACACTCTTCGCTAACTTGGGGAGTAACATAGATAATAGACGATATGCAGTTTCAGAGGGCGATAGCACTACGTCCTGTACCACCAGGCTACTTTAAACATTTGAAACTACCGTTTAAAACGTGCCTGTTTCGAGCGCTTTCTCCTTCTCTTCAATACTGCAGAGGGGAAACCCGCAAAATGGAAGGTGGCAGACACTACATACTATGTAGGACTCTGATAAAGTCTCCTAATCACTAATCGCTTTTACATCGGGTATCTTTGAGTGCATTTAGGTCTACATTCTTGATTTTGGGATTGCAAGAAAAATATTAAATCCAAAAGGCGAGCTGAAAGCACCACGTCAAACTGTTCGCTTTAAGGTGAAAAACTTCAACATATGTACGTACTAATATCCAAAATCTATGAATGAATAAAAATGTCAACCAAATTTAGCAAATAGCATAAAGATAAGAAAGGCAAGTATCAATTGTAAGCTGCCTCTATGGGCTCAAGTTCCTCTAAACAGAAACAATGCAAAATTTTGTTGTACATCTTACAGCGAAATAAATAACGTCATTTCAAGGGAACTATTCGCTTTGCTTCACTGGCATGCCATAGAAATATTGAGATGGGTCCGAAGGACGATTGTGAATCATGGTTCTACTTGTTACTTGATCTTATAGTGCCAAGAGGTTCCAGTTGGACTTACACATTATTGTCGCTTATATCACCAGCCACGATAACTTCTACCGAGGACAATGGCGATATGTTCAGGCCTTTTATGGAAATCTGTTCCTGACAAAAATATGGTTAAGAAACTTAAAGAAGATATGCGTACTACTAGAAGAGTAAGTCTAAAAGTTAGTCTTACATCATGGGAGCAACCTTTCCGAAGCTGGCCCTTTGCATCGAAGCGTGTCTTCTTTCCTTGAATGGGTCTATTTAAGGAAGTGGCATTTCAAGGACTTCTTTGTAAAGAGCAGCTCATGAGTGTCATGGATTACTTGGATTCATTACAGTATCAGGATCGTGTTGACTACGAATTTATATACAAGTCGTTAGAACTAGTAAGTAATGGCCAGACATCGTAAATAATAGGCTGAAGTAAACATTATAAAACGAAAGTGTTTATCTAAATAACAAAAACATTTACAGGGAGCAAAAACAGCGGGAGGAAACATCGATTTACCTTACGATTGGGAGCTTGGGGACGATCCAACCCAGACAGTTACTTGGTATGTCAGATCATCGAAACAATATAAAGGATGAATTCTCGGGAGGTTAATCGATCACGTCTGAGAGATGCGCCCACGCATTCGATTTCCATCCAGAACCGTAGTAACGTACTGAATGCGTATGTGGCCTATACAGAGACTTGCGGCGGCCAGCCAATGCAATGTCAGTGCTTCAATCCTCCCAGACGAGTTTGGTACCTATTAACCGACCCTGGAGGAATGGAAGGCTCGGCTGACATGGGCGGATACCGATGCGGGATTTGGGCCAGTGACCGTGCGTGTGAGATAATGTGCCAATTGCAACTCACCACCTTCGCTCTAGATAAATGAAACAGTTGGTAAATCGCAGGACAAATGAGGTGCGCAGTCAAAGGAATCGTATGCGCAGTTGCATTTCCATAAACGGCACAGGTCAAGATAATTTTGAGGAGCTCTTTTTAAGTTGGAAAGCGCTGGGGGAGAGTAGTACATAGGTGGCGAAGAAAGCGAGAAAATACGCCTACATTGCAGAAAATAAGGCCTCCTAGAAGTAGTGTAGTTAAAGGTGGTACGAGATTACCATGACGGTGATGGCATGGGAAAGGTGTTTGGACAAGTTTCCAGCTGTTGCAATTCGTAAAGAGCTGATTACATTGAGTCAGACGTCTACCAAATTGCCTTCCACTGTCGCCATGGTACCGATTCCCAACGTGGCTGCCCCATATGAATGGTCCAGTATCCACAATGCCATTAAAACTTTTCCACCTTTGAGACTTCGGGCTCAATGTAAGCGTGAAGTGCTATGCAGCTTCAAATGTGGCATACAGACGACACAATCTTTGAGAACCTTTAAACCATTATCGGGACCGTTTTCCTGTCTAACAGTGCCATTATGGTATACGATAGGCCCCAGATTCGGCCTAGGGAGATATCTTATTGTTAGAACTTCATTCATCGCAAACTAAGCCTTTGAAATAGACGTCAAAAGACAGTTCTATGGCTAGGATCTCGCTAGTATGTGCACAGTCAACAAGAAATTATATGGGATAGGTGAAGGCCCCTTAATGTGATGTAATTCGATCTCCTCGTGAATGAGCCAATGTAAAGAAGGGAGACGGAATGCACTACGGTCGATCATTGTTTTTGAATGAGATAGCCGTATTCATATTCGTAGCCTATGCCTCTCTGCAATTCATAATTATCAAAACAGAAATTTTTGTTCTTGAAACATATTTTGATTGATTTCAGCGTAGAAAAGCCTCTTCAAAAGTCGTCCGCTTCGAGATCGAGAGCGAAGGCAAAACGAAAAAAGGCCGGGACACCGGGCCATTCATCCCAAAGAAAGTTAAAAGGAGCCTCTTCTTCGGGAGTGAACGCTGCAGAAGTCAAGAGCGGAGCTAAAGAGAAGTCTCACGCTGGATCTAAGGAAAATATCAAAGAGGCTCGCCCACAAAAAGGTGGGACCAGTGAACGAAAAAGTGAGGGATCAAAGGACAAGGGACGTCATGGAGACAAGGGTTTCTTCTCTAAGAGCACTCCAAAACGTCGTGCGCGAAAGAAAATTAAATCGCTTAGAGATCCATCGTCGACGTCCAGAGCTCTTTCAATCGGCGTGCGTAAGAAGAATGCTAGAAAACCATCGCAAAAATCACGTGGAAGAAAGCCGAAAAAGGAAGCTTCGAGCTCCAGTTCATCCGAGCGCTCAGGAGCAGGAAAGGAGAAACTACGCCGTCGATGGAGCACTAGGTTATCGAAAAAATTCGTAGAAAGACGAAAGAGTGAAAGCCAAGATTCTGATTCTTCCGAGGAACGAGCAGAAGCTGAAAAAAATACCAATCAATCAATTAATACAGGCGATGTGTCATTATAAATGTGCTACAATTATTAAACATTAAATTGGTCAAATCGTACATGTTCAGAAACTAAAGTGAAGAGTAACCGGAGAAGGGTTCATTAGAATGTTTGACTGAAATGAGCATAATTTTGTGTGAATACTTTCGTTACCTCTATCACCTGCTGTCCCGTCGATCATCGATTTCCGCGGGTACCAGTAACGTCCCCTTTCCCTTGTCGCGGGCCAGAGTGGGGCAGTTGATCGCCCTTTCTTGAGGGACACGAGGTCCAGCATTCCTTGCGTTCAGAGCTTTCGTGAAGAAGTCTGACCATTGGGCCGGCAGTGTTCGTTTTACGTCCCGAGAGATCCAGTCCGTTACCACCCTGGTCAAACGGGTCAACACAAAACTGCATGACATATACAATACATACTTCTCAACTCTTCGAATCCTCAGTGTGAACAACGGCTTGCCCGGTCCTCGTCCGATAACGGAGCTCGGATTTAGGGTTTCTATAACTATGAAACTCGATTAGCTTCGCATTGAACTTGCTAGTGTTAAAGGCATTCAAGGGCACCGAAGTTTAGTGAAATAGAAAAGGGGAATCGGCTACGCGCTAACTTTTCGACGCTGCGGCCCTTCTTGCTTTGATATACGCCTCGAGGGCCTGAACTCTACGAAGGCCGCACGAGCGCACAGCCAGCGTCATTTAACACGCTAAGGAAAGGGCTAAGCTTGAAAGTTCCCGATACACGCAAGTGCACAGGGACACCAGGAGATCCAAGCTCCGTCAACAAACGAAGATCGGGGACGTCATTGCTTACCACAAGGAATCAAATAAAAATGGGCCGGGCACAAATAATGTTGAAATATAACTGTTAGATCGGGGCAGTTACTGACTGGATCCCCGGGACGTCGAACGGACATCAGGACGACTCCAGCGCGACGGTCAGACTACTTCACGAAACATCCGAAGTGAAGGAGTGCTATGTCTTGTGTCCCACGAGCGAGGACGATGCACTGGAGTGGGTGCCTCGCGACATGGACGAGGCAACTGTTTGCGTGAAGGCTTAGTTTGAGTGTCCTTCACGAGTAACGTTTCTAAGTATATACTCTTCACCGAAAAATATTTCAGCAGGGTTCTAGATCCCGAAGGAATCACTGTGGCCTAGTCTGATTTTATCGTGCAGCACTGATGATCAGAGCTGGCGTATACCGCTCCGTCATCGTTTTGAATTTCAAAGAGTGCTGGGGTCTTGGCGCCGCACCCTCTCCCCATTGTCGATTTTCCGGCCTTCTGGTTGATGAAGTCTATCAGAACTTGCTGAAACGTCAAGGAGAACATGTCTTCGGACGAACAAGATAGGGGCAGGTCGTGAATAGTGCTTAAATAGATTTCCAAGGACTGATACAGAGTGTGAAAACATACAATCACCCAACTATAAAAAGTGAGTCCGGCAGTAGAGAAACTCATTTTATGCATAGTACCAGTCACCGTTCGACATGTTGGTAAGCGCTGAGCATATAGCAGTGGGTTCACTTTCGAATCTCTTCTGTGTCACACCATTGATGTCCTTTATGAAGCAACCTATACTGGAAAGTTTGGTAGGAACATCGCTCCTCATCACTTAATAATCCATGTCGCCTCCTTCTACACCGCTTATCTGCAATAAGGTCTTGGATTCAAGGCCGACATGATGGTTATAAACGGCTCACCCAAACATCCGATGATCACTCCTCAACTTATCCGATGATGTCTCCTCAACTTGGAAGCAGTTCATGAATAAGAATTTGGGAAACTAGTGATTGCTTCCCATTTTCTTTGTGTCGGTCCTGGGCCATCGACGGCTGCCCCATGCGCATCAAAAAACCACAATCACACTATTTCAGGTTCGCTTACCGGAAGATGTTGTGTTTCCCAATTTCGTCCAAGAAGAGGAAGATGAATTATCTGATACTGTTAGTAAGACGCTGATATACTCCAAAGCTTGTTGGTCACTTTCGCCGAAAGATGGAAGTCAGAGTGGAGGCCACTTAAATGTTTACTCCCTGTTTTGCAAGGATAGGGATTTAGACGACCGATGATAGAACTGAGAGTAGGTGATAAAGGCCGATACGAAGGGTGTTGACCTATACGTGACCTTGGAGTGAAGTAAAGATTATGACCGATACGAAATGATAGCATTTGATAGAGGATGGTGAAGAATGTTAAAAATCAACTGTCACAAAGCGACTGTGTTTGCTCCGCAGTGGGTTCAGCTGGTTTGGACGTTAGGAACTTAGCTAATTTCATGGACAAGTCGATGACGACTGAAGCTGATTTCATGGTCAAGTCGAAGACGACTGAAAAAGATACACATCGATAATGGCGCTAGTAAGCACAGATGGTACTAGTCACATGTGAGCTTAGTAAAATCTGTCACAGCCTCAACATTGTAGCCCTTACACTGTTCAAGAGATCGAGCAGTGGGGTCAATCAGGTATGAAGATTCTTTTGTTCCAATATCGACAGCAACAGAGCTTATTCGACCCGACCCTGTGCTGAACACTCGACAAATGGTGGGAACCGAGAAATAACAGATATCCGGCATATCACTGATACCAGTTCGTCTCCTTAGAGTTCCTGTGGTGTTCTAGTTATTAGTAGTAAACTGCCCACGATCAGGTGATACGGGCTATGGACCATGCGGATCGTTACAACCCACCTACTCGGGTACCATACAATTTAGTCTAAACTGATCCAGGACTGAACATTGCGCTGGTTTTCATGTTAAAAAATATTAAGTCAAGTTTACAGGAGTATCGTAAGTCTTAAGCCCCAGTGGCTGAGAGATCTTGTACCCAGACGGGGTACCGCAGCACCCACCGAGTGTTGGAGCACGCAGAGTGACGAAAGATTTGTGTTAACAAGGGATGGTTACGGTAATTGCAGCAAACCATTCATAGACCGTGCCTACGACCATGGGAACTTCAATACAAAGTCCACCATCCGAACACCAGCACGTGATCTAAGGGATGCTTCAAAAAATGATTTAAAGGAGCTCACTCACAACATATTACCTGTTGACCACGCCGTTCTTATACCTTCTTCCGTCGCGGATTCTAGAAACCTCCGTTCTAGCTTTGGCCATAACTGTGCATTTTCTGTGAACAGATTTCTTGATTTTGAAGGACAACGATCCTCCTCCTAGCAAATGGGGAAGATGTGTAAGAACAACTGCTA